TAGGAAACATTTTCACAGTCCTTCAAAATTGGCAAGATTAAAGGAAGAGAAGTATTTCTTTTGCCTTCTAATCTTCCAGTCTAAGCAAATACAACAAGTGATTCTGTAAATTACCCTGATAAGGAGACTAACTGATTCACAAGTGACCAAAACTCCACTTACAGGTCTCTACCCCAACTTAGTTGACTAAACACATGCAGATGAACTTACCGGTTGGTATAAAATTCAGCACTTCTTTGCTTTCCATCATTTTCCTCAGTAGTATAGCTGATCAGCCCATCATGGTTTCAAATAAAATGTCTACTGTCTGCTTCAAAACCATACTTTAACACCTCCACACATCAGCAAGCACATGAAACAGGGAGGGTTTGCTCTGCCTCTGGGTCCCTGTGCCTTTCACAGACACTAGACACAACTGAAACCTAACACAACTGACAGCAAGATATTATTTCACATTATTTCTTGCCATTATCACAGACATAAAAAAGTACCACAATGTCATTCAGTACTACATTGGGTTGTGTTATACTACATAAACATATATACATATATAAACATGCATACAGTGTATATATATATATATATATATATAATTTTTTTATTACATAACAGAAATGCATGATTTAAGAACCTACTTAACCCATAAACACAATTAACCAGGAAGGTTCACACAAATAAAAAAATAAAAATAAATAAATAAAAAAAACCTACTACAAATTGAGCCCTCCACTGGGTCTGCCTGGATAATAAACGCCCGACTATTAACCAACTTTCATGAATTAAAAAATTTCCTCTCCACCTAGACTTACATTTGAGAGCTGATTTGCATTTGAATTAATGCAGGATAAGTAGTGGCAAAGTGGAAGGATGATTAAAATTTTCAAACGAGATCATGCTACCAGTCCACTGAGAAATTAACCCAGCATCACATCAGTAATAATGCTAATATGCTCAATTTGGCAAATTTACACAAAGCACCTATTGAATAACTAAACATATCCCTTTAATAATAGAACTGCACACTTATAAATACTGTAATATACTGCAAAGTTTACGCAAACTAAATATATTATTGTGTTCATATATTGTATAATTGTGATAGAAAGATACTGTATCTAATGACATTGCCTGACAAAAACATATAATAAACTAGAAAACGGAAATTTTGTTTTGGCTGACCATCAATAGGAGAAGAAAGTTGACTGAATTTGAGTTGAGGGCTTTATTTAAAAAACTAAAGCCAATGCAGCATCACATTTTTTATGCATTCATTTCCTGAAATTAATAAACAAATAAATAAAACCTTAATGTTCACCACAGCCTCATTCGTGTGTGTTTTTCCATTGAATTCCTTTAGAACAATGTAATCATTCATGGCATTCCTGTTAGTTATTTTTGTAGAGGTTAGATGCCTTGTAAACTCATATCAAAGAGGTGCTTCCTCAAAACACCTCTTGTGCTCTGTTAAATGTGCGAGTTAATTGTTAGTGACTCCTAAGCAGATTGAATGTCACTAAAATTATGCCAGAAAAAGAGGCCTCATGTTAGTAAAAGTTGTTATTGGGCATTTTTATTATACAGGCCTTGGGAATGAAATATCACAGCGAGTTATGCCTCTGGCTGCTGCTAGGGGGCAACACACAGCAGAGACAGGAGAAACTCTGAAGACAATTCAGACTCAACCAACAATTTATCACATTATTGCAAGACTTATTACATTATGATTAAAGTAACAAGGTTTCATAATTAGCGTGTATAATGGATCATTTTTTGAGATAACAGTTCATTCCCATTTTTTTTTTTTTTTTTTTTAAAAAAAGGTACTAAATCTTCCAGTGAGGTGACACCCTTTCAAAAGATGTACTTTGAGGTACTAATATGGAATCTTTAGAGGTAAATAAGTAACAAATTTGTAACTTTTTATGGAAAGGAACACCTTTTAAATTTCTCCCCCTTTCCCATCATTAATAGCAGCATATCTCAGAGGCATTTATTTTGAATATATGTGACTAGATGAGTCTAGTTACTAGTCTCGGTACGTTGAATGTCCCTGTCAACCTCTGTATTTATTCACTTGTCAGAAATGCCTTTTTTAAGACAAGTTGAAGACTTCAAAATAATCACGAGGGGGATTATTACTGATGTATTTTATGTCATAGAATAATATGTGAGAATACTGATTTATCACAGACCTCAGGCATTTAACCAAAATACTCAGTGACTTCAGGACGATGGACGAAGTGATACAATGCTAACTTGTTTCCAGGTTTTGGCCTGCAAAAATCCCTGCAGCACTCATATGGTTAGGGGTAGGGGTTAGAGTGGACTTTAATCCACTTAAGATTTGAATAAATACACACTGAATTTGTTTGTATTTCAGATTGTTTTGTAACGTACTAAAATACGGCAATCTGCATTGTAGTGCTTTTTATAGCAAATACTTAGTGTAGCATTTAAAATGATGTTTACTATTCTTTACACATCAGATGTGTCAAACATTATTTCATTTTCAAGCTGCTTTTAATTAAGACTCCAACACTAACTTTAACTAGAGATATATACAAAGTTTCCATGACAGTCTTTGTGTGACCATCACATCGCTTTTCTGCTTTCTTTCACGCTTTTTCACGCTTTCTGCTTTCTTTATTTCTGCGTAAATAAAAAAAAAGCTTATCTTTTTGACACTACATTTGTTTTGTGGTAGGCTACTTTGAATGTGATCTGGGACAGGAGAGGGGATAGGCTATTTCAGTTGTTTTGTTATTGGCGTTCCTAACCCTAGACTAGGAGGTCGTAACAACATGAAAATGTTGAAATCTGTAAGTCTTGCTAACAAATAACCCCTGGGTCATCAACTATAAGTTAAAGAATCCCCTGTTATAGTGTCTGACTGTGAACGAGCATTTTGATGTTTTAGTGAATGTCAACAGTGCCATCTGCTGTTTGCTATATCTTCATAACACACCTGATTGAGATCATCAGCTTATTAGCAGAGAAAATATACAGTGTTGTGGGTGTCCAGGAATGAAAATCACTGATTTAGCCATGTCTGCCGAGATGGCGAGAACTGAGGGATTTGAGAAATGTTTTATAAGTGATGTGGAGATTGTGTTTTTATTACTCAACAGGCCAGGAAGGTATACGATTGTAAAGTATTATCGATTGTGAAGGGTCATTTCATTAGCACTGTAGTTGTGGAATTTATTTTTAACGAAGTACTGTGTCAATTAACTAGTCATGGCTTGAGATCCTTTTCATCTTATATCTCTTAAGCTATAGTGAATGTTTCATGAGTATGATAATCTCTCCTTCTCGCTTTAGTTATGAGACAGAACCATATCCGTCTGCACAGTGATACCGTGCTGAAGCACACAAACAAAACATCATCCTTCTGCAAAATGCATATTACATTACATTGTGTACCTTTAAACGTTAAAAAAAAAAATACGTTTTGGAATCTTACTCAAACTTCTACATTTCTACATTACTCAAAATGTACACAAACAAAGCTTAGGGAAATATAGAGAAAGGCCTTGTACTTGCATCATCATTTAATTATGTGTGTTTGGTCAAAGCATGGGAATATGGGCACTTTAAAAAAAAATTATATATATATATATATATATATATATATATATATATATATATATATAACTTTAAAGTATATTTAAAGTTTTGTTGTAAAGAAATATGTGTCACTATTTGACCTTTTGCTGAACTTGGACATCTCTGTCGAAAAACTAAATTTAGGTGCATCGGCTACATGAAGTGAGGTTTATGGGCATTTTTATTTTTTACCTGAGGGTGTAATAATTTGCTTCATTTAACCCTATATGTCTATAAACAAATATAAACCACAGTATTTCAATCACAAACGTAAAGTTTACTTTTAACTGATTAAAAGTTGAACTTATTGTTAGCTTAATGTTTGAGTTCATTCTTTATGCTCATTAGGTGACTTTTATGACATATTTGAGAGCATTAAGTTGAGGCAATGGATTTACTAAAAATAAATGTAACTTAGTGTTTACAATGCAGACAGTACTGTAAACTATAATGACTCGCTATAAAGACAAATGAAACTAATTAATGCACACCTTATTCTCACCAAAGCCAAGATGACAATTACAATAAATCATTTGTAGGGAAAGTTAACTGAGAATGAAAAACTAAGGCTCACACTGCAGTCAACCATTAGAAATGAGCAGACACATGGACACTGTTTTATCATTCATTCACCAGGCCTGAAAAACATGTGCCAAGCAATGCCAGGACCACCAGAATAAACCCTTTCAGTCACACTTTATATTAGTTGCCTTTGCTTTGACTATTATGCACTTACGTCCGCCTACAATGGACTTATTGTGTTGATATTTGCATTGTAAAACACTTGTGCTGCTATTGAGGTGGGATACAGGTAGTTAGGGACAGGTTTGGTGGTATGCATAGGTTTAAGGGTAAGGGAAGGGTTAACAGTGTAATTATATATGTTATTACAGAAATGAATTACAGATATTAATCAAGTATGTACACAATAAATGCATTTTTATCAAATTTTTAATTTAAATGTCACTATAGCCTACATTTAGTTATATACTTTGTTTTCTTCCGTTCTTTGCTGGATATCGTCTTTGATTTGCTGTGTGATATGTAGATATTTCTCCCGTGATTCTACTGCACGATTTCTTTATTAAAAAAAAAAAATATTAGAGTTTATTAAAGATTATAACATTGCCTTCTTCATGTGTGTTGCTTTACCACAACAGATGTGACAATATTATTGTGAAAATGTGCATTAACTTTTTATCAACAGTTTTGCTAATTTTAAGTGCATATTGCAATAAGTAGAACAGGCTGCATTTTATTTATCCAGGGGAAATTGAAAAAACAAAACAGTACACATACGGTAAGCAGCTCTTCCACAACCTTTGGAAACGGTTTTGCACAACAACAGCTATCAGCAACCACCTTTAAAAAGTTGAAGAGTATGTGTCTCCTACCTGTTGTAAAACTGGTGACTAGGACTTCTGCCATTCCACCTCTAGTGAAGACTGAAGAGGATACAAATTCGCCGGTCATGCAATGTCCTACTGGTTAAAAGACAACCTTAAATACATAGCTACAGCATCACATTAGTTAAAGTTTTAACAGAGATGAAAGCTATGCCATCCTTTTATGTGATCTAAATTACTTTTTACTCCATGGAACATTAATATTTAATCTGTGCAAGAGTAGAAAGAGGAGAACTAAACTTGGCTAAGATTTGAATCAATTGAACCAATTGCTTCACAAAATTATTAACTGTTTTAAAGCGTTTAAATCTCCAATAGGCCTACTTACCAACTGCAGAACCATAAGTCACAACAGTCTGAGGACAACAGCAACAATCGAACAGTCTCATGCTGGAAGCGGAGTTAATGAAAACTATGCTGCATCCGAAAACCTAGGCAGCTGACTTGTTGCATCCCTGCCCTCTCAGGCATTGACTTAGCAGGCAGCATTTCTGCATGAAGATACCTCACGAGACATGATAACAAAACAGAGAGGGCTTTGGTGACAAACAATTGGATAGGTAATTACTACAATGCGAACTTCTCGCTAGAAATGCCATAAAAAGTGGGAAAAGTTGGTCAAAATGAACACTTTACACAAACTGACCAACCTCAAATTTCAGACGCCATCTTTATTTATTAGCTCAACAGTCAGGGAATGGAATGGACAGGATTGTGAGATATCAAATAAATAATTGTAAATGGGCCTTACGATGAAGTCACTGTTGATATTGTGTAGCTTTGATAGGTTACATATTCATGGTTTATGGTTTTACATTGTTGCTGCAGTATTTTGTCATTGGTTGCATTTTCTAATACTGACCAATGTTTATGTGGATTTATTTTGTTTAAATTTAGGCATATGACGATTCGGAGAGGAAAACATTCAAAACATGCTTCAACAATTTCCACTGCCAAGTGTTTTTAAACTGAGCAGACGACACAAGTTCACACGTTCAAATTCACTTCAAAAGGCAATTGTCCATGGAGGTATGAAGGTTTTGAGCTCCCTTTCAGTTTGGTCACGTTCGATGTAGTCGGTCATACCGTACTGATTAGGATTACGCTTAGGGAGCCTGTCATCTACTGTGCGAGTATTGAAAAAATGAGCCAATACATACAGTATTGGCGTACGAGATTTGCATTTCGCGCTATGCCCAGCGGATGCACACACCACTTGTCTTTCATGGAGTTTCGGAGCTGATCGGATGTCGATGTCTCTGAAGAGTGGTGGAAGAGTTTAACAAGCGAGTGTGCTTCTGAAAGTCTCTCCCTGTGCTGGTGTGTTTACAGCATAAGTGCAGCGGTGATCGCAAGCGTTCTGAGCTCTCAACTGCTGTTTTAACAGCATTCTTTCTTTGCCATTCCACCCATGCGTTTCTGGATGTGGTCATTCCCTGTCCCCAGCTGATGGTCATAATAGATGCATCACGTGTTTGGGCTTACAGCACGCTGAAGCAGTGTTTGTGGATGGTTTTGTGGATCCCAGTGCCGACATCGAGACTAACCTTCATCCACGGAGGTGGAGTCCCCATTCCCATGTCCCACTCTAACGCCTTTTGTGGCCACGGAGTCTTCTCTCTGTCCAATTGAGACAAGTCACCAAGGTCAAATCTGTCCTGTCTTTTATAGACTTTCAAAGACTCCTTCATATTTTATCTCATCACATCTGGACTACTGTAATGGCCTCTATGTAGGCATTAGTCAGGCCTCTCTCTCCAGACTGCAGAGGGTCCAGAATGCAGCAGCTCACCTGTTGACGGGTACACGAAAGCGGGAACACATTACCCCTGTTCTCTCCTCTCTTCACTGGTTGATTGGATGGAGTAGGCTGTTGCTCCACCCTCAAAATGATGTTGTCAGGTTCCTGAGGGAGCAAGTGAAATCCCTGCAACCCCTTTATCCTCTTGAACCTTATCTCAGATGCAACTGGAGTTGAAACAGTTCTCCTGCTCGCATTCCTACCTCTCCTTAAGAAGGATCAGGCGGTGAAACTGCAAGTGCTGCCCAGAGGAGGCAGACTCAGCCCTAGATTTTCTCTGTCCATCCACTCCATTGTGGTTATAAGTGCACAGAATTCAAAGCCTTAACCTCAGACCAACTTTTGTCTGTTATGGAAACCAGCAGAAGGGAAGGCTGTTGTCAAGCAGAGGTTGGCCCACTTCATGTGGTTGCCTTCATCTTGGTGAGAAAGTTTTCGCAAGGTGCACGTACCCACCTGGATTTTGAGCTCCTCCTAAGTGAGGATGGAGCAATACCCTAGGCATTGGGTATACCCTACCCTACTCTTCACATGAAGCCAGTTTCACTGTAAGCCCAGTTTATTGTCTCAGCTTGCTGCGCCAGTCCCCTCCTATGGATTGGATACATGCACAATTCTAAAAATTTTTTTTAGCTGAATCCTGTCGAGTTCCTCCATACCCTTAGGTAACGGACATGGTGGAACGTCCGAAGCCAGGCCTATCATTCGTATGCACTGGTGGAACCTGTGTTCAGCTGGGTCCATATGCTGTGATCCCCACAGCAATCCCATTCGTGTATTCTTACATGGTACGGCTCCCTGCGGCAAGCCTGTGTCTTCCCTTGACAGAGGCTGCTCTTCCCTCACTGTCCAATTGAGGCTGGAGCCACCCCAGTAGGGCTGTAATCTTAGTCGAACAAAATTCAAAACGAAATTCTGGTCGATGTTTTACCATGTTAATTTCATCAGGTGGAAAGCATTAATTGCTAATGGGGGTGTTTTCAGAGCAATTCTGTTTCACAGGTAACAGTCTGTTTTCAGAACACCCCCTCTTGTTTCACTTTTTTTGGATTAGCCCAACCCACTAGAGACAGACCGAAGGAAGTACTAGAAGGCCTTGGTCTGGTGGTTTGCTAAATATTTATTGAATTGTGATCGTTTAATTTATAGTCAGTCCTCCTCTACCATGTCAAAGACATCAGCAGTGTGGCAGCACTTTACAAAAATAGATAATGGAAAAAAAGTCAAATGCAACGTTGGCAAGCAACAGTTTGCATATCACAGCTCAACTACAAACATGGCACATCGCCTAAAAACGGTAATCTAACTTGTGTGCGTTAGGTTGCCCCATCCGTTTTGAGTAGGGTATATGAACAAAAGAATTGACATATTTCCAAACGCAAATAGAGTGTCAAATTCACGTCTGTCGCGTCTAGTTGGACGCTTAAAAATGTATCCATTAAAAAGCAAAAGCTTGAAGCGAACGATGCACAAAGGAGGCGAATTCGCGTCCGCCGCACTAAGCGCTTCAGTCGCGCCGTAGGACCTCCAGAAGCACTTAAACATGTCTTAACATTGACTAAACATGGAAAAAAAAAAATCACTCACGCCAGACACTCTTTTCACGTTTGGTGTGAACCCAGCATAATAAATTATTAGACTAAAACATTGAAATATGCAAATTAGAAATAATCTTTTTATAACTGCTGGCGCACCTGCCCGCAATGACGGTAGAAACTCCCCCAGACCACGCTGGATGTTAAGCCTCCTCTATCATCCAAACGCAAAAATAATATCACGGAAGGAAGAATTGTCGACTTTATCGAGGCCCATTTCTGTTGTGGAGGGCCAAGGTTTTAAGAACTTGTTAAAACTTTTGGAACCTGGATATACAGTGCCAGCACGCCACACAATCATGCATGCACTAACTGCAAAACATGAGGGCCTCAAAGAGAAAGTTTGAGAGTTAATACAACACAGCGAGGCACTGAGCTTGACCACAGATATGTGGACATCTCTTAGACGACTCTATACGAGTTCTATATGACAGTGACAGCCCATTTCATTGATGGTGACTGGAAAGCACAGAGTCTTGTGCTTGAGACAAAACAAATAGAAGAGGCGCACACATTTCTGTGTGACTATCTGAAGTTGCTGATATCTTTGCAATTGCAGAAGCAAAGAGAGTTTCTGTTGTATGTGAAATGGCACTCTGGAAACACTTTTTTTATTTACCCAACCCTGCCGTCACACCAGGCGTTTAAAAGAGACAGGCGTCTATTTGCGACTTGGCAATTATTTAAAGTTTTACGTTAAATCTCTGACACATCGTCTTTTTCCTCGTCTAATTTTATGTCGCTCTACATATGTCATCCGGTATCATTGACCCGATTGGCTATGAGCTACGTACAGGTGCATTTGATAGACATTCGTAGCACCCAATAATACGGCTATAGGCATTCGTAAACCACGCCTCAAATACGAGAAAATGAACGTGGTTTCCAGACCACATTTCATTCTCAAAGACAAGTGGTTTGGCGTAGCCAGGCTAAGTCTATTAGTGTCTCAGACGCAAAGCTGAGCTCAAGCCTCGCTCTGTGCGAGGACATGCGCAGAGCAGCTAAAATGATAGTGTATGTCTGTCAGTTATTATAACTTATGGCAAAAACAATTGTCTAAATTATTTTGCATATTCCTCAACAGTTCTTGTGCTGATATCACTAGTTGACATAGTACTATTTTCAGAAATCATAGTCAAAGTATCTTTATTTTTCTCCCCAAGGAGAAATTAGTTTTGTATAAAGAGATTGCTACATGAAGATTTCAACAAAGACAAAACACAGGTATAGGGTTAAAACCGTTAAAGACCTTAGTATAAAACATTAAGCAACTCAGACTGAGAACTGTGCAAAAATAGCAAATAACCAGTTACTGAATTCTGCTTATGCAAAAGTGATTAATTCAATCACAAATATACAGCATACAGCTATAGAAAATGGGAAAAAAAGAGTAAAAAGACAAAAAGTACATAGAATATTCAAGCTACCTGAAAAGCTGTGCAAATTGCAAATCACCATTTTCTAAAGTCTACTTATATGCAAATGTAATATCCTAACATGACCATACATAACATTTAATCACGGATACACAATACATTGTTACCCATAAATGATAACATTAACTTGGATTTTGTGTTTTCTCTTTTCTTTATTCCACTTGTGTAGAACTCACAATGTACACATAAGTGTGTGTGCGCGGTCAAACTGTAAATTACAAACAATTCACATTTAGTATCCAGTAATGTTTTCACTTCTCCAAATAAGTTTCTACAACATAACATCAGCTTAGATGATAAACATTAAAGTATATATTTATAAATCAAAGATATTCCCTACAATGCAAATATGACACGTGGTAGACTATGTAGCGTATTAAACATTATCACATAGGAATAATAAACTATCAGATTTCTAAACAGTCGCTGTATTATAAACACCTATTAAACTTTGTAAATGCTACACATATTGCATATATATTTAAAATAGGCAATTTAAACTAAAATGTCTATCCAAACATAATAAACAAACTAATAGCATTAGGCGTTTAGGCGCTAATCACAAATAGCGATCTACATGCTCCACAGTGCTTTTATCAATATACTTATAACAACAACATGTGACTTACCACGCTGGGAATATATAGTTTAGATTAAGGTCTTAGTTGTAATTGTTGTAGAACATTAGAAAGTCTGCAAATGAGCATCAACATTGCTTTCTTACTCAGTTCGGTTCAGTTCCGTTTTTTTTTTTTTTACGCGATCACATGGGCCCACAGAATCAACGTCCTTAAAGGGGCAGCACCCTACACATTAATAAAGTCATAGTCACATGTTCATCGCTGATCATTTATGAGCTTAATTGACAGAGGAACAAATGAGCGCTTAAACCTAATATACTTGCACACTCTTTCCTGAGTTCAATAACTCAAACTCTGAAAACAATGCATGAGTATTATCAGATATAATGTTTTTAACCTGCCTAATTGTTGTCTGCTCAAAAAGCTCCTGCGGGTAAAGAGTTGGCGATGTACCCATAATTTTGCCTGCTGTCTTGACCAAATTAAAAATTTGAGTCTTTGATTTGACTGTAAAATTTCCAAACTGGCAGCTGGATAACATTATGATAAGAATTACTCAAAGGGGGTCTGGCTCTAGTTGTATAGGCATCCTTGATATTGCCATAGCATTTATCAAGTATAGGCTACTGTTGTATCTAGAGCTACACTTAACATATTGATGAAATCCAAGTAAAGTTTTATCCAAGCTGCAGTGGTTAAAATCACCAAGTATCAGCATGGGAGCGTCAGGTTTGTTCTGTAGATGGCGATGGACACAGTCTGTAATAACCTTAGCTGCCATGTTAGCGTTCCCACTTGGTGGAACGTAGTACACAACACACACAAATATACTAGTAAATTTCTAGGCAAATAATATGGCAGCAAGGTAACACATCTCCAGGTTGGGGTTGCATATTTTGTATCTCACTGTAAAGTTACGACACCAACTGTCCTTAATATACATACATACCATTCTCCTCCAATTCACTTTGCACACTAGCAGCATACAGTTCATAACACAAGTGGCATCCAGCAAATTTGCACACTGAGTCCACGAATACGAAATATGAGCAAGGGACATAACAGACACTATACCAAACGAACCAAATGAACAAAAAAAAAAAAAAAAAAAAAAAAGCAGCAAGAGCTCTACTTCATGTCACCAGCAGCACCATCTTCACAGTGAAAAGCGGGTGACATTTAGGCTATAATATTGTGCAGGTGCATGTGATGCAATGCTGTCAGAGCCGACAGACTCGAGTGTGTCATTTCAGAGCAAATTATTATTATTTTTTTGCCTTGTTCAGGGAACGTGGGTTGCATACGCATCCAGTAAGTTCTGCGGTTCTGCAATTAGACCTATCTACGCCGGTGGTCCCTGCAGGTCAGAACTATGGAAATGCAAAAAAAAAAAAAAAACTCAGGCCAAACATGCATAAAAACAGCTTTTATAAACACGTTGCAAATGTTTTGTTGAAAGTAAAGTAATAAAATGCAATTAACTAATCATCTAATAGGATTAAATATCAAGTCTCTGTGTAATTTGTGTTCTTTTATCAATTTGTCAGAGCTCGTTTTGTTTGTTCCATGGATTGCTCCGCTAAACAGGCCAATAGGATTCAATTAACAATTCAGAAATGATTGCTTTAAATTATACTAATGTCTAATTAAAACATGTATAAATTTATAAAACTGATTTATGTTCAATGATTCACCTCTGGGAGGGTGATCTCAGTGAATCTGCATGATTCATAGGTTCACAGAGATCATCGCCCTCCAGTGGCAAACCATTCAAATTTCTAAACGTTTCGAAACGGTTATGACGTAACAAAGCCCAAGCCTCTGTTACTGAAATCACATGACTTAGACAGTTTGATACATGCTTTGACCCACTGATTTTTTTTAATCTTCATAAAGCATTGTTATAAAATCACCAGTCACTAACTGTCATGAACTGCTGTAAAACACACAGGTTGAGGATCCAAGTACAGTTTTATTAGGCAAAAGATCAAAAACACAAGGCAAACAATCGAGACCAAATTCCAGGAAAACAGGGAAATCCAGGAAACCAGGCAGATGATCAAAATCATAACACAGGAAACCAAAGAGCGAGTGCTCAGGATTGCTGTGCGACACAAACAATGACTGAAAACACAGGGCTTATAAAGGCAGAGACAATTAGGCAATGGGACGCTGCTGAAAGTAATGAGAAAAGAGTCCAGGTAATGGCTTTTGGGAAATGCAGTTCATTATTTGATTATGCACTAAGGAGGAGTGTCCTCTGGTGGACATCAACAGCACTCCAGCTGGTGGATGTGACAGTTTCCACATGACATAGCTGTTAAAATTGCCTTATTCTTCTGATTTTTCCAGAAGTGCCTTGTTAATGTGTGAGGTCAGAGGAGAATGGGTTGACTGATTCAAGCTGATAGAAGAGCAACTTAGACTGAAATAACCACTCGTTACAACCATTGAACACACACAACCTTGAGGCGGATGGGCTACAACAGCAGAAAACCCCACCGGGTACCCCTCATCTCCACTACAAATAGGAAAAAGAGACTACAATTTGCAGGGGCTCACCAAAATTGGACAAATGAAGATTTCTGTTGAGACATTCAGATGGTAGAGTCAGAATTCAGCGTAAACAGAATAAGAACATGGATCAGTCATGCATTTTTACCACTGTGCAGGCTGGTGGTGGTGGTGTAAATGCCACGGCCTGCCTGAGCATCGTTTCTGACCATGTCCATCCTTTTATGGCCACCATGCATGTACCCATCCTCTGATGGCTACTTCCAGCAGGTGCTGCATGTCACAAAGCTCGAATCATTTCAAATTGGTTTCTTGAACATGAATGAGTTCACTGTACTAAAATGGCCCCCAATTTCACCAGATCTCAAACCAATAGAGCATCTTTGGGATGTGGTGGAACGGGAGCTTCGTGCCCTGGATGTGAATCCCATAAATCTCCATCAACTGCAAGATGTTATCCTATCAACATGGGCCAACATTTCTAAAGAATGCTTTCAGCACCTTGTTGAATCAAGGCCACGTAGAATTAAGGCAGTTCTGAAGACGAATCCTATGGTGTTCCTAATAATCCTTTAGGTGAGTGTGTATACATCTATCTGTCTAAGTATATATCTATCTGTCTAAGTATCTAAGACAGGACAAAGGGTAGACTGGGGCTTATTGTCACAGTAACAATAAGCTTTTGAGTCAAAACTGCAATTACACAAAGAGGTGGAAAGAGTACTGAAAATTTGTACTCAAGTACAAGTACATGCTAAAATAATACTCAATTACAAGCAAATGTACTGGTGTTAAAAATGTACTCAAGTAAAAGTACAAAGTACCCCTCTCAAAAACTAGCCTATAAGTACTTATTACTTTTTAGCCTCTGATATTTATTTACTTTTATGGAAATAAAGTTATTAAAATGGTCTAATATGATTATTATTATTATTAATGAATTATAATGCAAAATAAATAAGCTTATTGAGTTATTTAATTTATAAACTTTTTTTTTTTTTACAATAAAGACTTCCAAAAGTACCCTACTAATATTTCAAAAGTTATCAGCATTTAGCACCGACACATGCGCAATCTGGACAGACGGTCAATCAGTGCAGTTACACGGTTATGCCAGTGGGTCATGGACATGGATTCAATATGAATAAAACAATGTGTTGACAAAGACATACAATCTAACTTTGAGCACAAGTTTACAGTGCTAAGTCTTTTATATGTACTTGTCACCGCTCATGTTTCAAGTTGTTATGATGCAGCAGACACAATGGGATCCATTCGCAGCATTTATTAGAAGACAAACAGGCAGGGAACAAACATCAGCAAACAGGGCAATGGAGACAAGGCAGAGACAAACCAGATACAGGCAGAGGGTCGAGGCAGGCAGCGAGAATCAGAGTCCAGTGAAACAGTCCAGGGTCAGGGCAGGTAGAAAAGGGTCAGCAACGATAAACAATCCACAGGTCAAAATACAGGAAGCAAACACAGGAGGATAACACTCAGAATTGCAACAGATTTGAAATGAGTGAATGAGAGCACAAGGTATTTATTGAGTGATCTGAACAAGACAATGAGAACCAGGTGAATGAGATGAGTGCTGATGAGTCCAGGCAGTGAGTTCTGGCAAATGTAGTTGTGAGTGAAACATGAATCTGGTGTGGAGTGCCCTCTGGTGACTCTCAAGGGCACTCCACCTGGTGACCGTTACACAAGTGATATTTTTATTATCGTCAGGTCTACCCAACATTAAAAATGAAAACAACTATCACATAAATTTACTATAATGTATTTTTTGAGATTAGAGGCTTAAGTCTTGTAAGCCGAAATCACTGCAGATGGCAAACAAAGTTTCTATAAAATGCACGCTGTCTCCTTTCCTTTCCCTGTGGCGATGCATGGGCACTCGTCATCAGGTATTTTTTCGGAATCTTCAGTGAATTTAGCGTCTCGAATCTCCATGTCCATAACGGCAAAGTTCTTCGATAACAACACTAAAATACACACTGAAGGACGTGCGAGGACGAATAGCTCTCCAGAAACCGTGCTTTTTTCCCGGTCCAAATACAAGGGTTTTTATTGGCCTATATAATATATTATTTCAATTGGATACCCAAATGCTGGTCAATCATTTTTTGCATTAAATAAGAGATATAGAGCTACAGTATGTGTTTTTGAACTCAAGCTGAGCACTCAGGTCTGCTGCTATCAGAGTCATGGATACAGTGTCTTCACTCGGACGAGCTCTTCAATCTATTGCAGTTGTGGAGACTCACTATTCATTCCGGTGAAATCACAAAATAAAATGCACAAAAACGTGTCCCTGTTTGATATAGACTGTAACCACTGATGAACATATTCAGTTTTGATGAGAGAGAGAAAACGTAGAACCTGTAACCTCTGACACGCTTGGCTAAAGACCTACCACTAGACCATTAAAGAACTCAAACAAAACTGCCGGATCAAAGCATTTATTTACGGGTTGAGCAGAGTGGCTCATTCTCTTTCTCGTTTTCTTTGGGGTTTTTTTTTTCATCATTGAGTATCACGTCTGAAATGCGTGATAATATATATATATATATATATATATATACTGTATAGATAGATAGATAGATAGATAGATAGATAGATAGATAGATAGATAGAT